GAGTGTTGATAGTTGATCCAAGAAGAATGAAGTCCTTGACAACTTCAATCTTTTCTCCATTAGTGATTGTAAACATTCTTCCTTGTAGCCTTAGTTTAAGGCAATAAAGAATCCTAAAAGCGAATAGATCATAAATAAGGGCTGTGGGTACAAGAATCTCTAAAAATAATTAGACTATAGATAAGGGCTGTGAGAATCTACAGTTATATAAATAAGAAGTCTGATCAGTAAAATAGGGGAATTGTTTTGATAGCTTCAGCTTTCCTGAGAAGGGATGTTTCTGTAGAAGGAAGTGCAAATTGCACCTGACAATTAGGCTTGATGGCATAAGATTTGACTAACAAAGGTCAAGAAACATGTAAAGGTTAACTTGCTTCTCAGAGAAAGAATAGATTTATATAGGAACAAATGTTTAACTAAAGGGTTTCAAGGCACCTGAATGTCTCCTATGCCTTGAGATAATGTCTTTGCTGTGACTTCCCATCCCTGTAGTAAATTTAAGAGTTGTAAACCATAAGGAATGTGCCCCAAGATACATTGTACCTTGATGTCATTGATTACTGTGAAAACAATGTTTTTGTTTCTGTAACAGTATATAAGAAGATTGTGAGAGAAGTAGAGTAGAGAGTAGCCATAGAAATAATAATATTAAAGCATGTAAGAAGAAGACCCATAGACTCCGTATAATTCTTATCGCCGACGTCCACACCCATCTTTGGAAAAACCCCTGAAATAAGTTTGCTGGGGCTGGTTCCCAGCAAATGGACTCAAGTAGTGAGGTTGGTCTAGGATCGGGCAGTGTTTCATTCTGCTGTACATAAGGTCGCTATGAGTTGGTACTGACTCGATGGCACCTAACAACAACAACAACATTCTCTTGGTCTAATAGAGAAGTCATTCCAACCCTCTGTCCTGGGAAGCTACAGTCTCCTGATCCATTAGCACAACAGCCCTGACCTGTAAACTTTAGGCAGCTGTCCCATTCTCTTGGACTGTTGGAATGGCAACACCACCCTCTGGAACCACCCTACTCTTTGAAAACTATGTGGTAGGTAGCCCCACCCTTTGAAACCTAGGGCACAGTGGCTCCACTCTTTGAAATGGAGGAAATGGTGGGCCAGTGCTTCTTGTCCTGTAGACAGTTCTACTGATATCTGGAGGTCCTGGTGTACCGCTGTGGGTTAATGCGTTAGACTGCAAATTCGGTTTGAACTGCAAGGTTGGTGGTTCAAGCTCACCAGTCACTCATTGGAAACCCTCCACAGGGTCGCTATGGGTAGGAACTGACTTGACGGCACTTAACAACAACAACAACTGGTATCTGAATTGCTCCTAAAATGGTCCCTTCCCTTTTCTGAAGGACAAGCCTCTTTCCTTCATTTTATCAAGTTTTTGTCCCTTGCAGTCTAAGATGACAAGTTTTCTGCTGAGATGGCTTATTAGATCCATCACTCACAGGACTAATCTCTTTAGCAAAGAGTTGTAAATCCAAAGTCTTGATATCCTTTCCTTGTTTTACAGTAGACTTTTCCAAAACTTTTAAGTTTTGTTTCTTAAATCAGTTCATTTCTTAATGTATCTCTTTCTACCCATATTTTAGTATAAGGAACAAGCAAAACCATGCTGTAGCTCCAAGATTTTGCACAGAAATCCTGTTAGCTAAATACTCAAGTTCATCAGTTACAAGTTCTGCTTTCCATAAAACAGCCCAATATAAGTTAGACAAATTTTTATCACTTTATAAAAAGGGTAAACTTTACTTCAGTGTCCAAAAACATGTTCATCATTTTCTTCTAAAGCGCCAGAAAAAGCCAATTCAAAGCTCACATTTTTAGCAACACTGTGTTCATGATGATCGAGGCTTTCCTTACAGTTCAAATGGATCTTACAGTATAGCGCATTAACCCACAATGCCATAGCAGTACTCCACGACTTCATTAACTTTCCCTTTTTATAAAAGACCATTCAGAAGGGATTTGGTTTAGAATCCATCATACTCTGGTATTAATTTATGAATACAACAAAAGAAAATATTATTTCCAAACAGGATCACATCTACAGAGTTCTGGAATTCAATACATATTTTTGAGGGGACACAATTAAATCCATAAAAAATTCTTTTGTTTCTAGGTGTTCAAGATAGAAGGTATTTAGAGCTGATGAAGTTTAACTAATGTATATTCTCTTATTACAAAATAAAAATTCTGTAGCAATTCCAAATCCAACCTTCATATAAGTGTAACACATGAATTTAAATCCTACCTGAAAGGTTACAAGTTAAACTTAAGACACTCACTGAGAATCGGATACATCAGAAGGACTTTTCTTCGGTAAATGTCTGGAGGAAACTTGGCATAATATACTTTGGCTCGTTGTGTTTCCTCATCACTCTGAATCAGGATCTTTCCAATTCTTATGGATCTACAGCAGTCTCTTAAACCTTGTTCCATTGCCTCCCCTTAAAAAAGGATTAAAAAAAAAAAAAAAAAAAAGGAAAATGGGTTGAGAGAAAACATAAAGTCCAAGAATAGAACAAAACTGACTTTGTGACTTATTCATACAAAAAGGACATTATAAGAAGAAAGCAATTACAGAAAATAAAGTGGCTTGTTAAGCTTTTAGTGAGCTTTTTAATATAAGGAACATTTTTAATCCTATATTTTAAAGAAGTCTTTAAACCACCTAAACTTAGAACAATATCCATTTCTTCTGGGAAAAAAAAAAAAAAAACCACAAATGAACATAAAAGATTTATGAAAGAATGAGGACTGATGACCAAACGATCCTTCAGATCAAGCCGGCATCAGAAGACATCGCTTAACACAGCATTAAGTTCAATGCTTAGGGGATAAACAGTGAAAAAGTAGTATATTATTCCCCATTCCCGGGGTAGAAAAGCACAACCACGAAACCACATCCATAGTTTTAGAACGCAGAACTATTTCTGTGTGTGAATTCCTTTTTAAGGAAGTGTTTTCCAAAAGTCAGCCAATCTCATACCATGTTTAAGATTTTAGGCTATATCAGAATATGTCCTGTATTATTATTTAAGACATTCTTTAAATTAACTTTTAACTTAAATCTATTTTAAGAAGAAATTTTATATCACTACTATAAACATAATAAATAAGGAAGACTGGAGAAGAATTTATGCATTTTGAAATATGGTATTAGCAAAGAATATTGACAGTACAATTGGTCTTGGAATAGGTATAGCCAGAATTACTCCTTAGAATTAAGGATGGTGAGACTTCATCTCTCAAACATTGGACATGGTATCAGGAGGGACCAATCCTTAGACAAGGACATCATACATGGCAAATTAGGGGGTCATCAAAAAGAAGAAGACCCCTGATGAGATTGATTGCTCTTTCTTCCTCTCCCTCCCTGCCTTCCTCTCATCCTATCCATCCTGGTGATCAGGAAATATATATATAATTTTCCCCCTTTTAGTGTGGGTTCTTTTTCTTACTCTTTTACAATAATGGTCTTATGTAGTATTTCTCCTTCTGTGACTGACTAATTTCACTAATTTCTTGTTTCAGCTTTCTCTCTTTCTAAACTCCAATTCGAGCAGCAGCGAGAACTTTGAGCAGCAGCGAGAACTTCGAGCAGCAGCGAGAACTTCGAACAGCAGTGAGACGTGTAGTGAGGAGCTCCAACAACAACACGGAATGCTGGGCCACAAGGCTGTTTAACAGAAGCCTCATCTCTCTCACGCGGAGGGCCTGGTGGATATGAGTTGCTGACCGCGGGGTTCGAAGCCAGATTTTTAACCACTACACTACCAGGCCTTCCACCTTCAAGATGGCAGATCGGGTAGACATGTAGTGAGGAGCTTGGTCAACAACAACGTGGAATACCGGGCCAAGAGGACTCATGAGATGATGTTGGAACTCTGTAACAAATATAAAGGTATGTTTGGAGGTTTGGAGGGTTTATAGCTGGGGAATTTGCAGGAGAATCCAGAAATCCATTATTTTCTGGATCAAGACACTCAGCTGTTCCAGGAGCCGTCATCTTGGGAAAGCTTATCTTGACTGTACTAGGATTGATAGGATTAGGAGAGAACATCTTGATTGTATCTTGACAATATCATGATTGTATCAAGATTGACATAGAAATTTAAAGACAGTATAGACATAAAGCCAAATGGCCACCACTCGTCTGTCTGTCATGCTGTGGTGGTTTGAGTTTCTGTGATTCTGAGGGCTATGCCACCGGTGATTTAAATAACCAGCAGGGTCACCCATTGTGGACAGGTTTCAGATGAACTACAAAACAAAGACAGACTAGGAAGAAAGAGTGACGAACTACTTCTGAATCGCTAGTCACTGAAAACTCTATGAATAGCAGAGAAACATTGTCAGATACAGGACTGGAAGGTGGGAAGGCACTCAGAATG